TTTTTGCGAAGCTTGCGTCGCATAGAAAAACAGCATAACCGTTATGACTGGTCGAATAGTAGAGGCTTAGTGCTCAGGCTTCCTTCAAATGGGCTGAAGTACTTAGTTTCACAGTATTATATTTCAACATGTTTTTGAAGAGACTAAAAGAAAGAATCTGCCTCCTAGATATCTTCTGATGTACCCGAGTCAGTATTCAAGGAGCTGCGGCCAAGCGAAAAACGCTACTCACTGCTGCAAAAGACCGAACTCTAAGCAAACTTTTGCAGATTTTCTTGTTGTGTCATGAAATTTCAGAAGTAATTTTGTTACATATAGTTCACCGAAGTTGTTTATTGTATAGGTGGATTGTGTTCTCTGACATTTTGATTTTTTCGGGTATTTATTCAGGTATTAGCTTGAATAAAGTTGTTCTTCTTATTTATTTGAACGTTTTCCCTAGCCCGCAATCAGGCAGGTGTCATACTCTGCGATTCGCGCGATAGTGTAAGTAGAGGTCATTGAAGCACCTACAATTAGAGAAAAAAAAACATTTGTACGGCCATTCCCCGTCTTCACTCATCTCGCATTGTGATACGCTTTAATTTCCTTTGTGTTGCCTTTCAAGGCTAATGTTCAAGACCTTTGTTGAAACCACGGACCTCCTGAGGGTGCGAACTGACGCGCAATTCGCATGGAAAAATTTGACCTCGGCGACCTATCATGCCTCAAAGCTGGCGGGTCCGGCGATCTCCGCCCACCGATCATCTGATCACTCGCCGTAGTTCAATACGTGGCGAGTGATTAGATAGCTGAGAGAGCGTAGTGTTGAAGAGGGCACAGCGATGAGAGTCGCATCAATGCTCAAATCAACGGGCAAGGAAGGGGTCCCATTTCTCGGGTTCTGGGCCGTTTCTCATGGTTCTTCCTTCTTTCGTGTACCACTCACCATCCCTAGGTTAATTTGAAATGGGTTGCTTTTTCATCGTGAATTCGTCCTTTAAAGCTAATGTTCAAGATATTTGTTTAAATAGTATTACGATAGGGTTGAATTGTTGTCTACACTGACTTGAAGATTCAGACTCAACCTCACTAAATTAATCACTCCCATGGATAGAGGTGTGTGGTCCGCCACAGTAGAGGTCGCGCCACTTTCGCACACCGATAAGTCGCTAGGCACTAAGGGCTTTGTTCTTATCTCATCAAAGAAAATAAGAGCACGCCCACCATTATATCTTCGTTTTATCTGCGTAATGTTGATTTGCTATGCTCTCTCTACTCGAACTTCTCTTACCTTCTTCTCGACTCACATTATCTCTCCAATCCGTGCTTGCCTTTTAGACTTATTCGCAACATAAATAGAGCTCGTATTTCTCTGTTTTCTCGATTTTCTTCCTTTTTTTAACTCAGTGCCCTTCGCATCCTCAGCTCATATTTGAGTGAGTTTGTGCAAATGGAGCTTGATTGCAGGTCACCAGGGTCAAGAGAAGCGTCGAGGAAAATTTTGAAACGCAACCATCCCCACTTTGTCCAACGGCCGATGTCCTTGAAGCGACTCTCCTTACAAGGCGAAGTACGAAAAAGTTGTTGAACCCTCCCCGAAAACCTTCCATCGAAAAAAAAGTCCCGGCCACCGTCCACTATAAAAGTCGTTCGACATGTAAATATGGAGTCAGGGAAAAAAAATCACTAACAATGAGTCCTACCAACAAACGGAGCAAAAAACGACAAACTAGTCACTAAAAATGGCATACTATGACAGCATCTCTTCTTTATTTATTTCCTTTGGAAGGCTTACCAAGTCTTAGTACTACACAGAGTGTGCTCTCAATACTACACGTCCACCATTTGGTTGACGGAAGCCTTGTAACCACAATGACCCCTTGGCGACAATGGGTGCCACCTCAAAAATTTGTTATTTGCACTTTTAAAACATCTTCAACATCTCTGCGTTTGTAAGCAAGCTTCATAATATCTAGTCATGTTTAGCACGGTTCACAGAAATGTGTCAAAAAGGTCAACTTATGGAAAATTTTTAAGGATGTGGCCTTTAGCCCTTCGAGCATGGTGAAGCACAAATAAACTGATCAGGAGTTCTTCGTCTTCTTTCGGTTCCCAGACACGGGGAGGGATTTGAGCTGTGTCAAAAATTCCATTACACACATAAAATTTAACGGTTTTCACCTTATATGTCTTATCCTAAAGGGCGGAAAGCGGTGTGATGGAGCCCAAGATCAAATTCCTGGGTCGTGAGTCGCCCGGGCCAACCAAGCCTTCCATCCCTCCGGGGTCGGTTAATTGGTACCAGACTTGTCTGGGAGGATAAAAACACTGACTTGAACATCGGCTGGCCCCCGCAAGTCATTGTATAGGCCCACATCGCATTCAAATGCCACTGCGAATGTACAAATGGAAGTAGAATGCGTGCCGCATCCCAAAAAGGGATTGATCAACGGCAAATGCTTTATCCTTTATTATTTATGCTTTCCAATGGTAAAAAACCAAGTTTTCCGCCAGCAGTCTCACCTAAGCCTTAGAAATCTGCAAAAAGATGGTGATTAAGGAGGTTATGAACACTTGAACGTTGAAAACTCGCATGTGCAACAAAACAGAACGGAACAACTGCTGCGATTATTTGGAAGAATTAAAAATTTGCAATACATTTTCAATTTGCAGCCTCAAATCGTTACTTACCTTTTAGAGAGAAAAAGTATATTGAATGTTGAAAACTCGGCAATGAGTTGAATGAAATGGTGCCCCGGTAGCGTAACTGGTAGCGCACTTGCCCGGAAAGCGAGAGGTGCGGGTTCTAGTCCCGCCTGGGGCGAAAGTTTTGTTCACAACCCAGCATTCTTGTGAAACATTCGCAAGGCGAACTGCGGCCAAAAACAGCAGTTAACAAACAAACAAGTTCAAAATATGATTTTTTGAATTTTGTATTCAGTCCCTTGCAGAAGCCTAGCTATGTAGGAGCATTAGATTTATTTTAAAGGCAAAGGTCGGGATTAGTTGACCAAACCAACCCTTTCGGTCATGCCTGTACTTGGTTACGCACCCGTAGAGATGTTCCACGCTCAAAACCCGAAACGGCGCAGTAATAAGGCCCCAGGGCATGTACTATGCGCTATCGCCGCCTGGCCCCGCTACGACCGCCCACCTTGGGATGTGGTGCGTGGCTGGCATAAACGTGTGAAATCAGCTAGGTTGATTGCCGTATCAACCGATAGAACGACTGATATCTTCAGAAAACTTGTTTGTACGTGCCTCTTCCCCAAGCCAGCCTCCTTCACTGCTAGTGGGAAAGAGGGTTTTGTTAACGGCCTTGTCGACGGTTTTTCTCAGTTTTTTCTCCACTGTCGTTCCACTTCGCATCTCTATACTCAGTTTCAATCGCCATAATACCCCCTTATTGAGCCCGACTTTTGCCTAAGGAAAGGTTGACTTGAATTTGAGACGTGGAGGGAAGTGCTGCTTTTTTGGCCCCCCTGTTTATTGATATAGCCGCAAAATTTTCTTTTCTTCTTTGAAATTGTTTCCAAACTATTGCCCTTACGTATGTAAACTGTCAAGCGCTCTTCTGATTAATCATAGAAATTCCTTCAAAATTACATTCCTGAGTATCAACAATATGTCGACGCTCTGTACACTTGCTATCTCCAAAGTACAAAGTTTACTTAATGTTTTTTATTGTGAGCGTAATAATACACAAAGGAATTCATACCAGCAATTTATTGCGTGATAAAAATTATGACGAGAAGAAGGCAACATCACCTTTATACATTGAGACAAGAACTTGTAAAATTAATCAGTAACATAAGACCCGGTGAGGAAATTCACAAATATGAGGCAAGACGTAGAGGAACATAACATCCGAATGACATCGGAAACAACAAGACTGATCATAAAAAATAATCCGAGAAAAAATAGAGATACTGCATGGAAAGATACTTCTGCAGAAGCTAGTATGACTTCAAAAACAATCACTAAAGGATGGCTTAGCCTCAGTGATTCTGGAATGTCCTAGAAAATGAACAGTCATTGAGAAAATGGCCTATGTGAGCGCTTTTAGCTACCATATGATATTACTAGGCACTTTAATCTTTTGTGAAAGAACACCTGAGTGGTGAGGGCGTAGAACATCAGAAAAAGAGACCATGAATCTACTGAATTCGCTGATAGACTCACAACTTCATTCCTACAAACAAATTGAGCGATGGTCGACTGTTTGAAGTGATATTTGCTTTTTAAATTACCGTTATGCATGTGAGGCAAATAAGCAGCTTACGGCCATTTAAAGTGTAGGTGGCCTAGAGCAAAAAGCCGTGCTCTCAGAACGATTTTAGGGGCCATGCGTCTTCCTGAAGTCTCAGCTTTTCCACAAACAGCGCAGCATTGGCCCCCATTTCGTGAGCTCACCGAGCCGTTATGTTGGCCAAGACCGATTTCCGAGAGAACCCGTGTTCATATCAAGGCATCCGTGACGTCACAACGAACCGTTCATAAGAATTACTGTGACCGACGGTCGATGAGAGATAGCGGGTGGACGACTGGAATCAAGAGAAGTGGAGACCGGTGAAGTAGAGCGTTCAGAATCGGTACAAACAACGGTACTGTGAATCGCAGGTGACTCATAGCGAGGTGGATAGAGATATTGGATAGTCAGTGGCGGTGCATCTTGACTGGTTGGTGACGATGGAGCAGTACTGGACAGAGAACGGAGTGGATCAAAAATCACTCCTTTTTCAATGTCCGAATAGAGCGGTGGCGGCGATTGACTGGAGGCGATTGCTGAAAAAGCAAATATTCGACTTCATAATATGGGGTGAAACCTAAACAAAGTTTTATAAAAATTGATTGATTGAAATATATAGTAAATATTATACTTCCACACTTGCCGGTGGCCTATGTAAACCTTTTTTTCATTTAAAACGACTAAATGAGAGTACACCTTCAAGAATATAATTTTCTCAAGAAAGGGAGAGAACTTCTAAGAAAATATGAAAATCCAATGAGGCAAAAAGGTATTCGAAACAAAAGGATAAAGGATTCAGCATTTAGCGTTGATCAGTACCTATTAGGATGCGCCACGCATTCTACCTCTATACAGCATTGAAAATTGAAGTGACATATCGACATGGCTTTTACAATGAGTATGAGGGCCAGCCAATCCTAATGTCACAAGCCAGTGATTCTGTCCTCCCAGACAGTCTGGTACCAAATCACCGACCCCGAAAAATGGACGTTTGTTAGCGTGGACGGCATATGGCTCGGGATGCGAACCCCGGGTAGTGGGCTATGATGGTGAGTGGCTCTGCTAACCATTACACCACTTCGGCGGTAATAGTAAGGTTGGGGGAATCTGCACTAATTTTGTTGATTCCTTTTCTGTCCAGGACCTGTCGACTCTGTAGGCGAGAAAGTTTTTCTAGCTTACAGGGCCGACAGGTCCTGTGTAAAATGGTAGGAGAGGATCAATACATTGAATCAGGTGACCTACGCTTATGTTTTTAGGGCCGATTAGGCATTCAAATCGTTGACTCAAGTAAGAAGTGAGAGCATGACTCCGAAAAGCCTAAACATCCTACTGTTATATTTCATACAGTTGTGGATGAAAGTATTCATCAAAACGATTTCTCGTGCTTAATTTCATTCTCTACAATTCACGTGAAAATATAATATAATAGGACTTTTCAAATGTCTGGGATTTTTCTTTCAGTTTGAAGGAAATTGAAAGAAAAAGAAGGAATCAGTATTTGAATCGAATTGGTCGTGCGAAAAGAACAGTGCACAGAAAATCATTTTGGCGAATACTTCTGACAGCTGCTGTGTGTTCTTTTGGAGAACCGAACCGTGGGTTAAACGCGTGCCTATTTTGAGTGGAAATGCTACGATTGACAGCGACGCCCAACGAGAGGTGTGAAAAGTTTCCAAAATTTCATCACGGGTCTTTTAGAACGAATATGCCATTGATGGGCGCTTTATTAAAATTTTCTTTAGAAAACCAAGCCTACAAAGTACAACGTGCACTCACCGACGTCATATTTAGGTGGAGGTGGCAGTTGTCGCATGATTCGACCGAGGTTTCGCCTTCGCAACGGTTCTATGTTGGTTCTGAAATTTTGTTGGCCATGTCTCCAAAATCACGAATTTCTAACACTGGCAAAACTATTTAGAAAAACAACATTGTCAATGTAGACAAAAATCGCGCAATTTTGGAGCATCCTCCTTCCTCCATGACTGGGCCTCTTTATAAGAACTCAAAAGGAAGGATGAGTCTTCCTGAAAGCTCCTAGGCTAATTAAAGGGCCCATGTCTGTTTACAAGATCCAGGGAGAAAAGTGGAGACTCCAAAGATTGGAATTCAACGATTATCCTTTCACAAATTAATCTACTAGTATCCATTACCCAGAACGTCACCTCCCGAAATTGCGCTGAATCAAGGCACCAACTTTTTAACACCACCCAATAATGATAATTGTTTTCGAAAAAGCTTTGAAAGGGATGTGACACAGACATACCGTCTCCAACAGCGTGCTCAGTCTGCAAAATCTTTTCGGCGAAAAAATGATGAACTGGACTTCAAAACAGAACTCACGTCGATCATAGTTCTTGATGATCATGCAAACGACACAGCAGCAGAGGAACAGCACAAAAAGAACTGGGCACGAAATCACGACGATCACCTCCCACAGCTGCGTCGGCCTTGTTTCTACGGTTCCTGAAAACGAGTCAAAAATTTGAGATAAACGGATAGAAAACAAGAAAATGGAACAACTTTCGCTGGGGGAAGCCATGAATGTTAGTTCTCCTTGAAATTTTCTGAAAACAGCGCGGGTTTTTGGATGGACGCGATGAACCGTTCATCACCCCACAAGTCACATACCACTTGAGCGAATTGGAACATTCAGAAAACATCACTTGTAGCGCGGCTTCCGGATGAGGCAAATGATTCCAACAACGTGAGGCTTTTTTCTAGACACTTGATCGATTAAGGGGTAATGACGTTAAAGGATTAAGCGCGGAGCTTTCCAGGAATATAAGTGAAGCTTTTGAATAAATGGCTACGGCTATAAGTTCACTTTGGCGTTGTAAATGAGCACGAGTGCTTGATATTGGCCTAATTAACTCGAATAACAAGGAAGCACTTGGCATTTGTTTTTCTCAAAGGTATCCCTGGAAAAATAATTAAAAAAATCCTCGAGCTGATAAAAAATTCCGAACATCAAACATTGTGGGAGTTTCGTGCAGGCGAGACTGAACCTGGACGTGAGTGCACCTGATACTAACTCCTTTCGCATGAAGTAAAATGCTGAGCAGCATCAAAGTGCTAAGCACATCTATTCGGGGCATACTGGAGCAGCGCATGGCCTCAAGCGCTCCACGTTGCTTCACACAGAGTTTCCATGAACAAAAGTGTGTGGACAATCATTATAGATTTCCCTAATTTTTTCACAAGTTCATCTATGCTCAAAAGAATTCTCACCATTTCGAAATTCGTCAGGTAAAGTCAGGTCCAGAAAGAATTCAAACTAGTAAATGATTATATTCATTGCGTTCTCTCACATTGAGAAAACTTATTTTAACGTCCATCTGCATGCCCGTTTTGAATGTCTCCAGGTCTGACCTTAAAGGAAGAATTTCACCGATCAGAATAAAGATCGAAAGCAAGGAAACCGGACCAAGTTGCGGACCACACGATCTCCTATCACATGGGTAAACAAAAATTCGGGATAAATACTTAAAAAACTCAGGTCAAATATGAGATATTCCTTCTTACTCCTTTTTTTTGAATATAAGGACCTTCATATGAGATCAGATCTTCAATAATAAAAAAAAACACAACAAAGTTCAATGACGCTAATATTATTCTTTGAAGGCGAATACGATAGCAGAAAGCAACCTATCAATTACCGGAAGTGGAACAAAACAGGAAGAACCATGACAACGGCCCAGAACCCGAAATGTGCCCTGCTTGCCCGTGATTCGACTTTATGGACTCCATTAAACTGTCCCTTTTCAACTACGCTCTCAGGTCTACTCACTCGCCCACGATAACCGTTCAGCTTTGACGGCATGATACGGTCGCCGAGTCAATTTTACCTGTGATTGCGTTGCAACAGTTCGCACCTCAGAGACCACTAGGATCATTTTCCTTTTCGATCTTATATAATCGTGAAGTCTTCCTTTAAGCGTCAAATACTTGGGGAAACATTCAAAACATGGCGATTGCAGATGACTTTAGGACTAATCGTTCTTTCTCTCTCAATGAGGAAGCACGCCAATTGTATCATCTTACCTAGAATCCCTTTCCTTCTCCTAAGTTGAATCCTAGTGCTGGTATTAGATATCACTCATGAAGACACGTCTCCAGGAACATCACTGGTCTAGTAAGGAGCGCCAATGAACATTCTAGCCGAAACGCCTAGCACTCTTAGCTAAAAAAGTGGAAAGTAAAACTGATTCCAACTTACCTGAGGGAAGACGAATGGCATATGGCGCGTTTATAACACACTGGCAGCAAAGATCAGACTCTACAATCTGAAGGACACCAGTTACATGTGGATTCACATCACTTAAACGAAGAAACGAATATCGCGGAATATACATTGCTTTAAAAGGTAAAACGATCCGAATACTAAAGCCAAATAGCACGTGCTTCGACATGCTGCAGTTGTCTACGAGAGAGTAATACTTTACTTAAACTTCGAGTTTGCACGAGCCGGAAAGCAATCATTCCTCAATAAGGCACCAAAACCACTCTCAGAAAGTACAATATACGATAGGAAGAAACACTTATGACGATTGTGCAGCGAATCATTACGAAACGAAAGAACGAGTTCTTCAGAAGAACAGTATATAAGGTCGAAGCATTAGCAAATACAACATCATATTATTAGATACGTTTATCCCGGACATTTTACATTGCGCGAGTTTCTTCAAGGAAGAAACCTCTCTCTGAGCTTCATGATTGAGCATTGGCACTTCTGTCCTCGTAATTTGGACCACCCCCTCTACCTGTCACCTCTAGCAAGCATCGCTTGATCTCGTTATCGGATTACTATAATTGTTTTTCAGTAAGCTCACTTTATAAATTTCACACTAATTTTACCTATGTAAAACAGATTGTTTGCTCAGACATGTAAAGTTTCTTCTGTAACAATAGTCCGTAAGAAATAAATAAATAACTGTACGCGCAAAATTCGCTATCCAGGCAGAATCAACAGAGCACTATCCTTTAACACAGTAAAATTTAATTATGAATCAAAAAACAATTATCCAACAACATCCGCAAGCATCAACAGAGGGTACCTTGACCGAGTGTGAAAAAATGTCAGGAAACACCGGCAATAAACGAACTCCGTTGTTTTCAATAACCCATACCCATTGAAAAAGGGATCTCATTAAACTATGTTCATTGCAGAACACGAAGAGGCATAACAGAAGACTGTAAACACAAGTACAAAATCGCGAATTTATGTGAAGAACATGGCAGATCGAAGTTGGTGCGTGCGCTATTGAAGGGACGCAGTTCGCCTTCGCTTTCCCCTTGACCCAGGCCGATCAACGTGCGATTTTACTAATTTCACATCATGGTAAGCAACGGGTTGTATAAAAGGTAAAGCATTCAGCGTGACTTAATCTCCCTGGGATGCGCCACGCATCTTGTCTCGATTTAATTCCTGGCACTGGCCTAAATGCGATGCGGTCTCACCCTTGACTTTGCAAGGCACACTTAATCACTAACGCACTGTTTTTCCTCTGGGCGACCCTAAGCTAATTAGTCGAACTGGGGTAGTTTACAGTCTTACTGAGATTAGATCGATCAGGGCTGCGGAGGTGGCGCATGGTACTAGCCCGCTATTGTCACATATATACAGCCATGCTTAAAGGCAGTTTAGAGAACCAAATCTAACGAATTCAGGTCGGTGAGTTTGCACACTAATTCCTCGGAAAGAATAAGCACTTTAGATCGCTCATGACAGAGGGGATCACGAAGGCTAAGCAATGCGCAATATAATAAACTAAAAAACTGCACTGATAACCTACCACTTCCAACTTGGGGTTCACAAACAAACATGAAACCCCAGAACCAACACTGCTATTTGATTTTAATTTTGACATCATTGAACACCCAGCCAAGTGTGGAACATGAGCAATTAAACCTATTCAACATTACAATAATACAGTTCTATTTTGTTCAAGATACCGTAAAAACGAACTTGTGTGACAGCTGGTGTTCTGACAGCAGCGAATAAGCGCTGCGTTTGGGAAGGAAACAATGCGACAACAGAATGTAATATGTAGTAGGGGGGGGGGGGGGGGGGGGGGGAGGCGTTATACAGCCAGCACAATATTGGAGCCTGACTTCAGACCGGTTGTGCGAATAAATATACGCTGTCAGACTGTATTTTACCTATAGCAGTGCTATCAAAGACCAATTATGTTACTGGACAAGCAAAAATCACCATTTCTACCAAATCATTACTCTTAGGGGTTGGATAAGGTGATGTAGTAAAATATCCTACTCTCTGACACCATCATTGGAAGGAAAAATCCCTCGGATTTAGCCCGGCACGAAAATGTTTAGACGTCCCAGCCGTCGTTGCGAATGGGTATTCGACTGCACCAGCACGAGCATGAGCTGCTCAACTCGAGGCTAGTCGCTCTGAGAGTCAGGAACATTGCTCAAAAGAGAAACCACGACGAAAGAAAGGTAAAACCTCTTTGATAAAAAGGCAGGCTAAATCTCCTAAGTCGACCGATACCAATTAGTTGAAAGATATACACTGGCGACATACTTCGACGGCTTCCCGTGCCCCTAATCGCCGCGGTACGCCCACCTAACTGGCTGACCACTCAGCCGTTGTCTCTAGCCGTTTCAGCAGAGAGAGCGTTAGCGTTGAAGAGGGCAGCACCGATGAGAGTCGCATCAATGCGGAAATCAACGGGCAAGGAAGGGGTCCCATTTCTCGGGTTCTGGGCCGTTTCTCATGTTTTTTCCTTCATCCCGGCACCACTGACCACCTCTACCTTCATTTCTACTGGACTGCCCCTTCATCGTGAACTCCGCCCTCAAGTCGAGATAGTTCGTGCACATCAGTTTTGGAAAGGGGTCTAATGAAAGGGGTTAGCTCGGCATGTCTCCAAGGATTCTTTGGTGATGAGCAGTCGGCATGGCGGGGTTCGTCTAAAAATTAGGCCATCCGAGAATTTTACTTTCTTGATGTTGTGCACTGTAAATATCAGCCACCCACCACATCTGTGCTCAACGTTTTGAATTGAATAGGATAGGAGGGATAAAAGGTTGTTGAGAAGAATAGAAAGGATGTTCAAAGGGAATAGCTATAAATGCTATGCTAGACCCCGGTTCTGCTACGGTAACCCAAGCCGCTGCCCTCTGGTCTGGAATAATCAATTGTGGCGAAAAGGTTTACTGTGGATTTTTGTGGCAACGAATTCTTCAGAACCGAGCGCGCCATTGAAATCGTATTATTCGGCATAAAAAGGCGTCATTTAGCAGCGACAGATAATATTTGAAATGCAATTTCGCACGCTATCCACGTACGAAAGGAGCCGAAAAAGATTTGAGCATCCAATTTGTAGTGAACTCATGACTAAGCAGCCACTCGACAGAAAGAGTACAGAGCGTTTTGCAGCCGATGGCAAAAGCAAAAGCACTAATGATCACTGAGAACTCGATCGGCTAAGCACATTTAGGACACGATAATCTACAATTCACAGTTCAAAGTTCACAATGAGGACACAACTTATCAAATATTCATAGATAGGTGGGAGACCAAGCTAATGAAAATCACGCCAAGGCAATTACAAGCGTATGGATGACCATACCATGTGAAAGGTTGAAATGCGTGTGATCAAAGATCTTGTCATGAGAGGAATTCCAAAGCGAAAAAAGGGCTAGGGTGTTTTGGGAAAGTGGTGGATTAACAAAAGGAGAAACAAATAAGTTTTTGGAAACGAGTAAGCGATGCTCTAGCTGGGACCGGTCCTCATACTTTGTACCCTTATCTGTTCTCATACACCTTGCTTCGTTTTTTATTGAAGAAATTGTGGATGGAAACGTTTTGTGTTCTTTCCCCGCATGAGTGCGTCATGTATGATCGTTGCAGCGAACGCACGTGGTCCCATGAAGAAAGACATGGAGAAGGATAAAAACTTTGTAAACGAAATAACTAAAACGGTCCGCTTCGTTCGCTCCCCAGACGAGCCCCCCGTACTTCGTGCATGCATAGAAACTCACATTTCGTAAGAAACGAACGTTCAAATTCAACTTCATGGGCAGTTAGCAGACACTTGGGCTCAGAAAAGAGTGCGCATAAAAAAGAATAGGGAGGCAGCTACGTATTGAGTTAGAAGGAATGTAAGAAGGAATTGAAATTTGACTCTAGAAATTGAGGAGTAGGGTCGGAAGTTTTGAAAGAGCGATAGCAGTGCGTTTGTAACTGTGCATGAGCATTTCAACACTCTTCCACCCTAGACATTCCATGAACATCATTGTGAATTTTTCTTGGCATTGAAAAACCTCTATCGGCACTCCTTCTCAGCGCGATCTTCTCTACTAAGCTCTAGCCCCATCCCCCCACCTTCCTGCAGGATCTATCGTGACATGTGAGCTTGCCTCGTGGGCCAGACGTCGCAATGTCACACGAAGCGAGAATCCCAACGTATTGCGCACAACAGTCAAGATACTGTAGCTAGCTCTATCAAATGGTTCAAAAGTTCACTCCACTGATTCCATACTTTACACCAATCTCCAAGCTCCCTTTGCTCGCTGATCACTCTACAGGGTATTCCTCGCATCCATGCCCCAAAAAAACACAAGTTCACGTCCTAATCATCTATTACAGTAATAGAAGAACGCTTAACCGAGTTCCGCGCGAACACATCGCTTCAATCGATGCACCAGCGACCCGTCAAACCAAATGGATTCGCCTCTCCACACTCCAATCTGATCGACAAACGATTACCATTACATCCTCATTGCGTTTTCCTGCCTCTACCCGATGCGAAGGACTGCTCCGTGTCACCTTTTGGTAACGAATAAAATCGGGTCACTCTTTCTGAAGCTCCACAAAGATCGGGATCGCCCCAGACAACGCAACAAATATAGGCAAAGGTCGGTGATAACCTATGCGTATCATTCATTCACGAATGTTTGTGTGACTGGGGTATTCATCAGCCGGCCTGTCAACCTGGGCCTGACGCTGGTACTAGAACCATTTTTGCAATTTTTGCAAGGCATGGTTTCGAACCTCGGCAGGGATCGAACTCGCGGTTTTCAGAGGTGCAGACATGAGTCTAACCTCTTAACCACTCGGCTATCCCTGCCTTCAAGGTTAAAGTGCGACGAACTAATAAATTAGAGAAAATAGCGACCCCCTGCAACTGCGCGCCTAACCGGGAAAAAGAAGAAAGTAGGTATTTCCCAAGAATATTCATTTGCATCGAAAAATAGATGAGCACATAGGACAAAAGGTGCACCACAATTCCGAGAGTGCTCCTTTATCTATAGATACTACTTTTGGAGAGGATGTAAAGTGCACTCTCCCCTATCGCACTCTCGTTCGATCCATCCCAGTGAAAAT